TTCAAACCAAGGCTGGGGTTGGAGTAGGTGGCCTCCAGAATCCCTTTATGTCAAGAGGTTAAGCCAAGAGGTCTCCAGAGGTTGGCCAAGGACTTGGGAGACAAGGTGGGCTCTCTATCATCTCTAGTGGCCTTCAAACCAAGGCTGGGGTTGGATTGGTGGCCTCCAGAATCCCTTTATGTCAAGGGGTTAAGCCAAGAGGTCTCCAGAGGTTGGCCAAGGACTTGGGAGACAAGGTGGACTCTATCATCTCCGGTGGCCTTCAAACCAAGGCTGGGTGGACTAGATGGCCTTTGGGAGACCCTTCCACCCGTACGATCTGAGGCTCCTCCTCCCTCCTCTTCCTCTCACCTTCCACCAGCAAGAAGAATCCCCGGGGGTTCTTCTGGAGAACTTTGAGGGCCACGTCCACCATCTCGGTCAGAGAAGGGTCCGTCTCCTTGTTCCGGTTGAGTTCGTACATCAGGTCGATGGGCTCAAAGAGGCCTAAGGAGAGGGGAGGAGGAAGAGGAAGGCGAGGGAAGTGACCCTTCGTTCAGGGGGTGAGTTTCCACAGGTGGCCGGAATACCGTCCCCCGAATCCCCGAGACTCACCCAAGAGATAGTCCACTCGGCTGGGGTCCAGTTTCATGAGCTCAGCCAGGTTCCAGACGTAATGGGCCTTCTGCGGAAGGAGGACATTGCAAGAACCCCCATGAGCCCCCATTTTCCCCCTATGGATCCTGCAACTACACTTAAAATGTGCGAAGCCACTGTGCTCATCACATTTGGTTGGGTTCAAGTGTAGGATACAGCATTCTTCGCGTATTTTAAGCAGTGGGAGGGGGGCATTCTTTTCAAACGTTTCAGGAGGTGGCGGGGAAGAGGGAATTACAGTTTCCCAAGGTCCATCCTCATCTCTGGGTGGATTTACACTATGGAATGAATGCCCTTGCACCCCACTTTAAATGCATGGGAGTTATAGATTCCGAAGGTGCATACCCTTTCCTGGGAGCATCTACACTGTGGACCTTACTTTAAATACCACAGTCTCGGGAGTTATAGTTTTCCAAGGTCTTCACCCTTCTCCGAGGGGCAGAGGCCTAGGGTTGCAAGCAAGGAACCCATAAAGAGGCCTGGGATTGCAAGCAGGYACCCCAGAAGGAAACCTAGGTATGCCAACAGGGACCCCATAAAGAGACCTAGAGATGCAAGGAAGGACCCCATAAAGAGGCCTGGGATTGCAAGCAGGGATCCCATAAAGTGGRCTAGGGATGCCAACAGGGACCCCCTAAAAAGGCCTAAAATGCTAGCAGAGACCCCTTAAAGAATGTCTGGGATGCAAACAGGGACCCCATAGACCGAGGGATGCAAGCAAGGACCCCATAAAGAGGCCTAAAATACTAGAAAACCCCTTAAAGAATGCCTAGGATTGCAGACAGGGACCCCCTAAAGAGACCTAGGGATGCAAGCAAGGACCCCGTAAAGAGGCCTGGGATTGCAAGCAGGGACCCCATAAAGAGGCCTAGGAATGCCAACAGGGACCCCCTAAAGAGGRCTAAAATGCTAGCAGAGACCCCTTAAAGAATGTCTGGGATGCAAGSAAGGACCCCATAAAGAGGCCTGGGATTGCAAGCAGGGACCCCATAAAGTGGCCTAGGGATGCCAACAGGGACCCCCTAAAAAGGCCTAAAATGCTAGCAGAAACCTATTAAAGAATGCCTGGGATTGCAAATAGGGACCCCATAAAGAGGCCTGGGACTGCAAGCAGGGACCCCATAAAGAAGCCTAGGAATGCCAAGAGCTCTCCTGCTGGTCACCACTTGCCGATCCCGACTGACCACATGATGGGATAATAAGTCACAATTAGTAATAGTAATAATGCCGGTGACCCCGCCGACCTTCTCGCTGGGCTTCTTCCTCCTCCATTCCTCGACGAGGTTCCTGCCGTCCAGGCGCGTCCCCCGGTATTTGTCCTCCTCCGGGTATTCCACGTCGCTGGCGTTCTTGGGGAACATGTACTTGCGCCCGCCTCCCATGATCACCTGGGGAGAGGGGGCCAAACACCCATCGTCCACTCGGAACGCAAAGACGTCCCACCCAGACACCCCCAAATAGAGTTGCGATGTAAACAGAGCATTGCTTTGGACTGCAACTCCCACAATCCACATTTACCGTCTATTTATGTGCCCAGCGCACCCCTCTTTCCCCCCCGAATATTTTCAGTTGGCAATTTTGCACAAATAAATATATATATTTGTGATCTCCATAATTATACCCGGCTGGCCCCAGCCTGTAATTAGGAGCAAACTAAATATTATTCCTCAAAGGGTGCATTAAGCGGGTTTTAGGGTCCCTGTTTATGTAATTTGGGGCAGGACGGAGCGCGGAATCGGAGAAGGGTAGCATCTGTTTGCCCTGCGGTGGCTCGTGGCATTCCTGGAGGCCTTTGGGTGGCGGTCACCGGTCAGCAGGCCGGGCTATTTACTGACTGTGGGAGTTGTAGCTTTGCAAGGCCGGCCAAAGAGTGGACGCTAACTCCAGGGACTCGAGGAAGGGTCGCCAGAGGGAGCCCTTGCTTTCCCTTTGGGCCTCCGTCCAGCGCTCTCTTTCTGGGCCACGGCCGGCCGGCCGGCAGGACAATGGCCATTGATTGCCCTCTTTTCCCGGCGCATGCATGCACGCCTGGCCCAGATAGAGGCACCCGTTGGCAGCATTGATCACGCCGCTCTGCACCCACAAGCACGGATTTCGCCTCCAAAGAAAGGCAGCCCAATAGGTTTTGCTGCCTGAGGCCGAGAGCAAAAGGAGGAGGAAAGGATGTTCCATATTGTTGCAGTTGGAATCATAAAGAGGCCTAGGAATGCCAACAGGGACCCCATAAAGAGGCCTAAAATGCTAGCAGAGACCCCTTAAGGAATGCCTGGGATTGCAAGCAGGGACCCCATAAAGAGACCTAGGGATGCAAGCAAGGACCCCATAAAGAGGCCTGGGATTGCAAGAAGGAACCCCTAAAGAGACCTAGGGATGCAAGCAAGGACCTCCTAAAGAGGCCTGGGATTGCAAGCAGGGACCCCCTAAAAAGGCCTAAAATGCTAGCAGAAGCCTATTAAAGAATGCCTGGGATTGCAAATAGGGACCCCCTAAAGAGACCTAGGGATGCAAGCAAGGACCCCATAAAGAGGCCTGGGAATGCCAATAGGGACCCCCTAAAGAGGCCTAGGGATGCCAACAGGGACCACCTAAAGAGGCCTAAAATGCTAGCAGAGACCTCTTAAAGAATGCCTGGGATTGCAAACAGGGACCCCGCTAAAGAGACCTAGGGATGCAAGCAAGGACCCCATAAAAAGGCCTGGGATTGCAAGCAGGACCCCATAAAAAGGCCTGGGATTGCAAGCAGGGACCCCCTAAAGAGACCTAGGGATGCAAGCAAGGACCCCATAAAGAGGCCTGGGATTGCAAGAAGGAACCCCTAAAGAGACCTAGGAATGCCAACAGGGACCCCCTAAAAAGGCCTAAAATGCTAGCAGAGACCCCTTAAAGAATGCCTGGGATTGCAAACAGGGACCCCCCTAAAGAGATCTAGGGATGCAAGCAGGGACCCCATAAAGAGGCCTGGGAATGCTTTTATGGTTAGATATAATTGTATAATGTAACTGTTTGTTATTAATATTATATCTATTGTATATATTATTCTATTGTTGCTGGTGTTATGTATTATTATTATTGTTACTATATTTTTGCAGTTATATTATTATTATTATAATATTATTGTTGTATCTATTGTATATATTATTATATTGCTGGTGTTATTATATATTAATATCTTGTTATTATTGTTATTATACTATATTGTTGTAGTTATTATTATATCTATTGTATAGATTATTCCATTGTTGCTGGTGTTATGTATAATTATTGTTATTATATTATATTGCTGTAGTTATATTATTAGTATTATATTATTATTATATTATATCTATTGCATATATTATTCTATTGTTACTGGTATTATTATATATTATTGCTGTTATCTTATTATTGTTATTATATTCTATTGTAGTTATATTATTATTACTATTTTATTATTTTATCTATGGTATATACTATTCTATAGTTGCTGGTGTTATATATTGTTATTGTTATTGTTATTATATTATATTTTGTAGTTATATTATTATATCTAATGTGTATATTATTCTGTTGTTGCTGGTATTATATATTATTATTATTGTTCTTACCTTGATATTATTATACCATATTGCAGTTATATTATTATTATATCTATTGAATAGGCTTATTGTTGCTGGTGTTATTGTTATTATATTATATTGTAGTTATATTATTATTATTATATTATTATAATATCTATTGCATATATTGTTCTATTGTTGCTGGTATTATTATATATTATTGTTATTGTTGTTATCTTATTATTGTTGTTATACTATAATGTAGCTATATTATTATATTATTATATCTATTGTATAGACCTACTGTTGCTGGTGTTATTATTACTATTGATATTATATTGTTGTAGTTATATTATTATATCTATTGTAAATATTATTCTATTGTTGCTGGTATTATTATACATTATTGCTGTTATCTTGTTATTGTTATTATATTATATTGTAATTATATTATTATTATATTATTATTATATCTTTTGTATATATTATTCTATTGTTGCTGGTATTATTATATATTGTTGTTGTTGTTATCTTGTTATTATTGTTATACTATATTGTAATTATATTATTATAATAATATTATATTATTATATCTATTGTATATATTATTCTATTGTTGCTGGTATTATTATATATTATTATTGTTGTTATCTTGTTATTGTTATTATACCATATTGTAATTATATTATTCTATTATTATTATATGTATTGTATAGACTTCTATGGTTGCTGGTTATTATCATTATTGTTATTATATTATATTGTAGTTATATTATTATTATATCTATTGAATATATTGTTCTATTGTTGCTGGTGTTGTTTATTATCGTTATTAACACCACCAACAATAGAATAATATATGCAATAGATATTATAATAATAATATAACTACAATGTACTATAATAACAACAACAATAATAATAACACCAGCAACAATAGGAGTCTATTCAATAGATATAATAATAATATAACTGCAATATAGTATAGTATATAGTATAATATAGTATAACAATAACAAGATAACAACATCAATAATAATATATAATACCAGCAACAACAGAATAATATACACATTAGATATAATAATAATATAACTACAACAATATAATATAACAACAACAATAATAACACCAGCAACAATAGAAGTCTATCCAATAGATATAATAATAATATAATAATAACTACAATATAGTATAATTATTATTATTATTGTTATTATTATTGGACACACACACACCCCGGTGGTGCAGCGGGTTAAACCGCTGAGCTGCTGAACTTGCTGACCAAAAAGTCAGCGGTTTGAATCCAGGGAGCGGAGTGAGCTCCAGCTGCTGCCAACCTAGCGGTTCCAAAACATGCAAATGTGAGTAGAGCAATAGGTACCACTTTGGTGGGAAGGTAATGGCGTTCCATGCAGTCATGCTGGCCACATGACCTTGGAGGTGTCTACGGACAACACCGGCCCTTCGATTAGGCTTAACGTCAAGGGGAAACCTTTACACTGGCTTGACCCTCTGCCAGATTAACAATGTTCGCATAAGGCATAATAAGCCTTCTCGACACTTATCTTCCTGCAGAAACTCTTCCCGAATGCCTCTCGGGCCCAAGCCAAAGACAACAATGACTTCATGAATACGATAATCCCGCAAGGCAAGGCAGGGCTCTACGTTTCCACTCCACCAGTCAGTTATGTTCTCAGGCTTTTCAGCCTCTCGATGAAGGGCCGAGGAGCAGCGGCTCTGCTCCGGGTTGCAGTCCGAACCGCGTGACTGACCTACCTCGATGTCGGGGACGTTCTCGACGAGCTGGCGGGCGATGTCCTTGCAGCCCTGCTGGAGGGCCTCCGGGGGCATCTCCCCGTCCGAGTACCACTCCCGGTCGGCCGAGTGGGCGTAGGCCGCGCTGGGGGTGGCATGGTTGACCCTCGTGGTGGTCACGATGCCCACCGACTTGCCTGCGAGCCAGGAGGAGAGACGGATGGACAGAGGTCAGTCGGGACACAGGGCAAGGGGTGAGCCAGCCCCGAAATGGAATCAAGGGAAACTGACCAGACCTTCAACTCACAACTTCACATGAAATGGGCCGGACTTTCAAGTACGAGGGTTGAATGAAAAGTAATGCCTCCACCTTCGTTAATTGGGTTTGGATGAGAATATTTGAATAAATTAAACGCAGAAATAATCCATAGAATGTGCTCTTTAACTCCCACTATTCACTTTTCCACACAATCACCAGACAATTGGATACATTTCTGCCAACGATGAACAAGTTTTCTGAAGCCGTCGCAGAAGAAGTCAACACTCTGTTTCCGCAACCAGCGTCTCACAGTTCTCTCATCCTGGGTACCCATCGTGCACTGATACTGATAGCCAAGCAAAGCAATAATGTGATCCACGTGTTCTTGTGAAATGCTGATTATGCTTGAAATTTCTCTCTGAGTGATACGACGATCATCCTCAATCAATATGTCAACCTTTTGCTTGTGAAACTCGGTGTTTGCTGTCACAGGACGCCCAACTCTTTGTTTGTCATGCAAGTCAGATGTTCCCACCTCAACATCTTAAAACTTTCTCACAGTACTCACATCAACACAATCCCCATAAACAGCTTGCATTCGCTGATTAATCTCCTTTGGGGTGCTTAAGTCGCATTGAGTGACCGTCTGCGCAGGTTTCCATATTTCGCACTTAAACAACACAACCGTTCAATGCTAAGGCTTCCCGCCACAATGGAACTGTAGAGGAGAGTCTACTGAACAAGCCAGTACCTGCTGTATACCAGTACTGCCGTCTGTTGAGGAGTTACGAAGGTCCCTTCAATGCTAAGGCTTCCCGCCAAAATGGAATTGTAGAGGAGAGTCTACTAAACAAGCCAGTACCTTCCACATACCAGTACTGCCATCTGTTGAAGAGTTACGAAGGTTCGTTCAATGCTAAGGCTTCCTGCCACAATGGAAGTGTAGAGGAGAGTCTACTGAACAAGCCAGTACCTTCTGCATACCAGTACTACCATCTGCTGAGGAGTTACGAAGGCGGAGGCATTACTTTTCATTCAACCCTCATATAATCGACTCGACCATCAAGTAAAACCGACTGAACTTGGAAGTGAAATTGGATTAAATATTGACTGGACTTTCGAGTAGAGTTGACCTTTGTTGTCAAAGTAAGGCTTTCTATGTCCGGAATCACTGGGTTGCGGCGAGTTTTCCGTAGGGCTGCCTGGCCATGTTCCGGTAGCATTATCTCCTGACGTTTCACCCACATCTATGGCAGGCATCTTCAGAGGTTGTGAGGTCTCTTGGAGTGTATGTGTGTGTGTATATATATATATATATACACACATATATATACATATATACATATATGCGTTATATATATATATATATTTATAATATAATGGTATTGTACGCTCCATGCAGTCATGCCGGCCACATGACCTTGGAGGTGTCTACGGACAACGCTGGCTCTTCGGCTTAGAAATGGAGATGAGCACCACACCCCAGAGTCAGACATGACTGGACTTAATGTCAGGGGACTACCTTTACCTTACTATATATATATATATATATATATTCCTATGGAATGATGTCCAGGGTGGGCGGAAGAACTCTTGTCTGTTGCAGGCAAGTGGGAATGGTTAGCAATGAGTAGCCTTGCAGCTTCAAAGCCTGGCTGCTTCCTGCCTGGGGGGGGGAATCCTTTGATGGGAGGTGTTACCAGTTCCCAAGAGACCTCCCAACCTCTGAGGTTGCCTTTAGCCATAGAGGTGGGGGCGGAACGTCAGGAGAGAATGCTGCCGGAACATATTGGCCAGGCGGACTGGACAACCATACCTAATGAACAAGCCAGTACCTGCCGCATACCAGTACTGCCATCTGTTGAAGAGTTATGAAGGTCCGTTCAATGGTAAGGCTTTCCACCACAATGGTACTGTAGAGGAGAGTCTGCTGAACAAGCCAGTACCTGCCGCATAGCAGTACTGCTATTACGAGGACCTGGTTTAGAAATGAATTGGAGCGTGGCGTAAACATTAACTGGGCTTTGCATGACGTAAAACTGGACGCAGACCGGGCCGTGCGTGGAAATGCATGAATTGGCTGGACTTTTCAAGGGGAATGGACTGGACTTCCAAGGGAAATCAACGGAAGTGACCATTGCCAAACAACCCTTCTTCCCTTGCCATCCTCCCTCCCTCCTGGTCACCTTTGGCCCACTTACTGGGTCAAACTGGGAGCCCAGTTGGGCACTGACCGGGCGGACTCCTGGTTAAACATTGGAGCAAAAAACAGGGTCCGGATCCCTTTCGGGACTCGAATTCGGGGCAGGACAGGGCCCTTTTGTGGCCGTTCGGGGCATTTCGGGGGAAGGAGAAGCCCGAGGTCTATTTTTACCTTTGGTTCAAAGAAAGAGTCCCTGTCCTGTCCTGGAAATAGACTTGCGGGGAGAGAGAGGAGGCTTTGATGCGCTCGAGCGAGCCTGCAAAAAAGGGTGATGCCTTTGGGGTCAAGGGCTCCACGGCAGGCCAACCCCATCAAAGCCTTGGGGGCCCCTTCCCCCTCCAAAGGGGCATTCTCGCGTCGCCTGTTTGTTGGTTTCCCAAACAGGAAGCATCAGGAGAGAGCGTCTCCGCCACCCAACAACAGTCCCCTGTCTCAATCCTGACCGGGATGCGCCAGGGGAAAAATACCCATCTCTCTCTATATATATATATCCCGGTTGGAAGGAGGAGCCAAAACACACACCAATCCATCAATTCGTTAAAGGATGTGCTGATCCATCAATTGGTGGGAGACGCTCGGCCAAAAGGAATATATAGATCAGAGATGGGTGAGACTTCGCAGAGTCTCAGAGCCGGAAATGAAAGGGGAAGCCTCTGTCTTTGTTTGTGTTTGTGTGTCTTCATTGTATATGACTGTAAAGGCATTGGAATGGAGATGAAGACCTCCCGTCTTCGATCAACCTATTCGATGAAGACACACAAACACAAACAAAGGCAAAGGCTTCTCCTTTCATTTCCTAGCAGTTCGAAATGTGAGTAGATCAATAGGTACTGCTTCGGCGGAAGAAGGCAAAGAGACGTTCCAAGCTATCTTGCCAGCCACACTGCCAGGAGGCAACAACGCAATCTCCTCGGCTTGGAAATGGAGATGAAGACCTCCTCCAAAACTGGAAATGAAAGGAGAAGCCTCTGCCTTTGTTTGTGTGTCTTTGTTGTATCTAAGTGGGCTGTGGCAACATTGCCAGGAAGCGACAACACAACCTTCTCAGCTTGGAAATGGAGATGAAGACCTTCCCCTGAGCTGGAAATGAAAGGAGAAGCCTCTGCCTTTGTTTGTGTTTCTGCGTCTTCATTCTATATTATTGTAAAGGCATTGGAATGGAGATGAATACCTCCTCCAGATCCGGAAATGAGCACCACCTCCAAAGCTGGAAATGAAAGGAGAAGCCTTTGCCTTTGTTTTTGTGTTATTGTACCTAAGCGGGCTGCGGCCATATTTCCAGGAGGCGACAACACAATCTCCTCGGCTTCGAAATGGAGATGAAGGCCTTCTCCTGAGCCAGAAATGAGCACCACCTCCAAAGCCGGAAATGAAAGGAGAAGCCTTTGCCTTTGTTTTTGTGTCTTCATTGTATCTAAGTGGACTGCGGCTACATTGCCAGGAGGCGACAACACAATCTCCTCGGCTTGGAAATGGAGATGAAGATCTCCCCCAGAGCTGGAAATGAGCACCACCTCCAAAGCCGGAAATGAAAGGAGGAGCCTTTGCCTTTGTTTGTGTGTCTTCATTGTACCTAAGTGGGCTGCAGCCACTTAGGCAACAACACAATCCCCTTGGCTTGGAAACTGAGGCGAAAACACAATCTCCTCAGCTTGGAAATGGAGATGAAGACCTCCCCCAGAGCCGGAAATGAAAGGAGAAGCCTCTGTCTTTGTTTGTGTTTGTGTGTCTTCATTGTATATTACAGTAAAGGCATTGGAATGGAGATGAACATCTTCTCCAGAGCCGGAAATGAGCACCACCTCCGGAAGCCGGAAGTGAAAGAAGAAGCCTTTGCCTTTGTTTGTGTGTCGTAATTGTACGTTTGTGTGTCTTCATTGTACGTAAGTGGACTGAGGTGGTGCAATGGGGTAAATCATTGAACTGCTAAGCTAAAGGTTGGCAGTTTGATTCCGTGAGATGGGGTGAGCTCCCATCTGTCAGCCCCATCTCCTGCCAACCTATACAATGAAGACACACAAACAAAGGCAAAGGCTTCTCCTTGCATTTCCTAGCAGTTTGAAATGTGAGTAGATCAATAGGTACTGCTTCGGTGGAAGAAGGTAAAGACACGTTCCAAGTGATCTTGCCGGCCACACTGCCAGGAGGCGACAACGCAACCTCCTCAGCTTGGAAATGGAAATGAAGACCTCCCCCAGAGCCGGAAATGAGCACCACCTCCAAAGCCGGAAATGAAAAGAGAAGCCTTTGCCTTTGTTTGTGTGTCTTCATTGTACCTAAGTGGGCTGCGACCACATTGCCAGGAGGCGACAACACAATCTCCTCGGCTTGGAAATGGAGATGAAGACCTGCCCCAGAGCCGGAAATGAATGGAGAAGCCTCTGTCTTTGGTTGTGTTTGTGTGTCTTCATTGTACATTACTGTAAAGGCATTGGAATGGAGATGAACACCTCTTCCAAAGCCGGAAATGAGCACCACCTCCGGAAGCCGGAAGTGAAAGAAGAAGCCTTTGCCTTTGTTTGTGTGTCTCCATTGTACGTAAGTGGACTGAGGTGGTGCAGTGGGTTAAATCATTGAACTGCTAAGCTAAAGGTTGGCAGTTTGAATCCATGAGATGGGGTGAGCTCCCGTCTGTCAGCCCCAGCTCCTGCCAACCTATACAATGAAGACACACAAACAAAGGCAAAGGCTTCTCCTTGCATTTCCTAGCAGTTTGAAATGTGAGTAGATCAATAGGTACTGCTTCGGTGGAAGAAGGTAAAGAGACCTTCCAAGTGATCTTGCCAGCCACACTGCCAGGAGGCAACAACGCAATCTCCTCGGCTTGGAAATGGAGATGAAGACCTCCTCCAAAGCTGGAAATGAATGGAGAAGCCTTTGCCTTTGTTTGTGTGTCTTCATTGCACGTAAGTGGGTTGTGGTGGGGCAATGGGTTAAACCCGTCTGCTGCTGAACAGCTAAGCTAAAGGTTGACAGTTTGAATCCATGAGACGGGGTGAGTTCCCATCTGTCAGCTCCAGCTCCTGCCAACCTAGCAGTTCGAAAACATGCAAATATGAGTAGATAAATAGGTATCGCTTCAGCGGGAAGCAACAAAGAACCACTCCAAGCAATCTTGTCGGCCACACAGCCAGGAGGCAACAACATGGTCTCCTCAGCTTGGAAATGGAGAAGAACACCTCCTCCAGAGCCGGAAATGAAAGGAGAAGCCTTTGCCTTTGTTTGTGTTTGTGTGTCTTAATTGTATATATGACTGTAAAGGCATTGAATGTTTGCCTATGCAATCCTGTAATCCACTCTGAGTCCCCGAGGGGAGAACGGTGGAATATTAATAGGATTATTATTATCACAAAGAAATATTGTAATAATAATAATAATAATAATAATAATAGATACATAGCTGCTTTGAGTCTCCTTTGGGAGAGATCAAGCAGGTTATAAGTGGGCTGCGGTGTTGCAATAGATTAAACGCTTGACCTGCTAAACTGCAGTTCGAATCTGTGAGCCAGGGTGAGCTCCCGCTGTTAGCTCTATCTCCTGCCAACCTAGCAGTTTGAAAACATGCCAATGTGAGTAGATCAATAGGTACCGCTTCAGTGGGAAGGTAATAAGTAAGGCAGAGGGAGACTGACCGGCATCCTTGGCCCAGCGCAGGATGGAGGTGACGTGGTTCCCGGCGGTGGTGTTGCATTGGGCACGGGTGACGGCGGCGCTGACCCCAACGGTGCCCTCGTTGGCCTTGACCCCGCACAAGTAGGCCGTGGCCGTCCCCGCACTGTCCGGCACCTGCGCATTCGTGTTGTAGGTCTGCGGGAGGAAAAGCGGTCAGGCCACCATTTATATATATATGTATATGTATATGTATGTGTGTGTGTGTGTGTGTATATGTGTGTGTGTGTGTGTGTGTATATATATATATATATATATATATATATGAATTTTCTTATACATATAATGTAATATATAATAATATTATATATATAATATAATGTAATATAATAATATTCATGCAATTATATGTATGATTTTTTATAGATATAATGTAATGCATAATAATATTTTATATATAATATTATGTAATATAATATTCATATAATTATATATATGAATTTTCTTATACATATAATGTAATGTATAGTAATATTTTGTATATATAATATTATGTAATATGATATTCATGTAAATATATATATGAATTTTCTTATACATATAATGTAATATATAACAATATTTTATAATGTAATATAAGTCATATAATTATATATATGAATTTTCTTATAATATAATGTAATATATAACAATATTTATATATATAATGTAATATAATAGTCATATAATTATATATATGAATTTTCTTATACATATAATGTAATATATAATAATATTTTATATATAATATTATGTAATATAATAATATTCATGTAATTATATATATATGAATTTTCTTATACATATAATGTAATATGTAACAATATTTATATATATATGTAATATGTAATATAATAATAGTCATATAATTATATATGTGAATTTTCTTATACATATAATGTAATATATAATAATATTTTATATATAATATTATGTGATATAATCATATATAATATAATATATATTACACATATTCTGATATAATATATAGTAATATTCATGTGTGTATATATGTATTCCTTTGGGAAGATAGGGTGGTCTACATATAAATATTATTATTATTATTATTATTATTATTATTATTATTATTATCGTGGCTTGGATGGCCATCTGTTGGGGGGCTTTGATTGTGCTTTTCCTGCATGGTGGGTTGGACTAGATGGCCCTTGGGGTCTTCCACTGAAGTATAGTGAAGATTATGTTGGTCTGAAAGTTTGCCCATCGTAATACGTCAACCTTTGCTTCCAAGGCCTTGGTGGCCCCTGGCTTCTGGTTAACCGGGCTCCCGTCTCCCGTGGCCAAAAGAGGCCTTTTCTGCACACGTGCAGGCTGACCTTTGCTCTGGCCCAGGGTTGGCAAGGCCTCAATCCTGCAGGCAAAAGCTTGGCTTTCCTGGCCGGAATGGACCACTTTTTAAATATTTAATTATATTTAAATATAATATATAATTAATATTTTGTATTAATATAATATATACGTAATATTTTGTATTACTATATTATATCATTAATATATTATATTGGATACGTTACATTAAAATAATGTCATATATAATTAGAATAGTGTATTAAATATTATATTGTTTATGTATGTTAGGGATTCCTCATCTTTGGAGGAGGAAGGGGAGCAGGGAAATGCTCAGAAGAATCAGATGATGAGATTTTGCAAGTGCCTACATTTTTAGAGAGACGAAAAGAGACAGAGCACAGATGGCTTTCAGTCAGAATAGCTGCTAAAAACGCTGAGCTAATTGGGAGACACCTTACCACCTCCTGCGTGGGGAATTCAGGGCGATAAACCTGAAGCAGGAGCAGTCAGCTTTTGCTGCTAACAACGACTCTGTTGCTGTCTGAACCTGCTTTGTGTCTGCTGCTAAGGACTTTGTAATCTTTGCCCATTGTATGCTGTTTCTTTTGGGAGTTTTGTAAGAGACTTTAATTTGTGTCTGCATTAAGACTTCCTTTTTTTCAATTGCATTTGCTGATGCATTCTGTTTGCTGAAGTAAAGCATTTTTCTTACCTTGTATTAAGGCTGTGTTTTGAAGAGTAAAACAGGACAATGTATTAATTACATAATACTATATCAATAAAATATATTCAATAGCATATATTAATGAAATGTATTAAATACATTGTCCAGAGTGGAGGGTGAGTCCTGGCACCCCGAGGTTAGTCAAGGCCGAGAGCCAAATCAGTTGCAGCAATTAATGGGCAAGTCCATGCAAAGTGTTGGGACATTGGCAAGCACACATTCCTCCTGCCCGACTGACCTTGGAAAGAGCCACGAAAGGGAACCGGTCCATTTCCAAGATGGACTCCTCCCCGCTCTGGTTCTGGAGCTGGCCCTTGAGGATGCGCGAGGCCGTCACCGTCGAGACCCCCATCCCTGCAAGAGAGAGAAGCGGGGACAATGTAGGTGTGCATAAGTGACTGCGTAAATTAAATAATAATAATTAAATAAGGAGGCTGTCCAGGTCCTGAACCGGTGCTTGGCTGCTGTGACGGTCTGGATGAGGGCGAACAAATTGAAATTGAATCCAGACAAGACAGAGGTACTCCTGGTCAGTCGCAAGGCCGAACAGGGCATAGGGTTACAGCCTGTGTTGGACGGGGTCACACTCCCCCTGAAGACGCAGGTTTGCAGCTTGGGTGTGATCTTGGACTCATCGCTGAGCCTGGAACCCCAGGTTTCAGCGGTGACCAGGGGAGCATTTGCACAGCTAAAGCTTGTGCGCCAGCTGCGCCCGTACCTTGGGAAGTCTGACTTGGCCACGGTAGTCCACGCTCTGGTTACATCCCGTTTAGACTACTGCAACGCTCTCTACGTGGGTTGCCTTTGAAGACAGCTCGGAAGCTCCAACTAGTCCAACGCTCGGCAGCCATGATTTTAACAGGAGCGGAGCGCAGGGAGCATACAACCCCCCTGTTGCGCCAACTCCACTGGCTACCGATCTGCTACCGGGCTGAATTCAAAGTGCTGGCGTTGGCCTTTAAAGCCCTAAACGGTTCCGGCCCAAGCTACCTATCTGACCGCATCTCTGCCTATGAACCCACCAGGACTTTGAGATCTTCCGGAGAGACCCTGCTCTCGATCCCGCCTGCTTCTCAAGCTCGGCTGGCGGGGACGAGAGATAGGGCCTTCTCGGTGGTGGCTCCTCGGCTGTGGAACGCCCTTCCTACGGACATTAGACTAGCACCATCTCTAATGGTATTCCGCAAAAAGGTGAAGACCTGGATGTTTGTGCAGGCGTTTGAGTAATTTAGTACAATCTGGTAATGGAACATAGGAATGGAACAATGGACGACGAACCTGGACTACGCTTGGATGATGAGAAGATTGGGTACGGTTGTTTTTTGTAATAATTGTTCATTGTAATTGCTTATTGGTAATTTATGGATAATGTGTTAAGTCAATTGTTATATGTTGTATGGAACCACTGCTGTTTCTACTGTTTTTTACTGTTTGTGAACCGCTGTGAGTCGCCTTCGGGCTTGAGATACAGCGGTATAGAAGCAAAGTAAATAAATAAATAAATAAATAAATATAATAAATATCAAGAAATAATAAGAAAGAAATAATAAATAATATTAATGAATAAATAATGATATAAATAATACTTAAATAAATAATAATGATAATAATAATAATAATAATCCCTCTGTGTGCATGTGTATATAAGGGCCTGTGCAAAATAATAATAATAATAATAATAATAATAATAATAAATACTACTAATAAATATAAATAAGAATAGTAACAATAAAAATAATAGTAATAATAACAGTAATAAATAGCAATAAAGGAATAATAATATAATTAATACTGAAATTAATAATAATAGTATTAAATAGTTATAATGAAATAATAAGATAAATAATACTGAAATAATAATAGTAATAAATAATCCCTCTGTGTGTATGTGTATATAAGTGTCTGTGCAAAATAATAATAAAAATAAAAAAGAATAAAAATAAGAATAGTAATAATAACAGTAACAAATAGTAATAAAGAAATAATAATATAATTAATACTGAAATTCATAATAATAATAGTATTAAATAGTTATAATGAAAAATATAAATAATACTGAAATAATAATAATAATCCCTCTGTGTGTATGTATATATAAGTGTCTATGCAAAATAAATAATAATAATAATAGTAATAAATAGTAATAAAGAAATAATAATATAATTAATACTGAAATCCATAATAATAATAATAGTATTAAATAGTTATAATGAAATAATATAAATAATACTGAAATAATAATAATAATAATAATAATAATAGTAATAATAACAGTAATAAATAGCAATAAAGGAATAATAATATAATTAATACTGAAATTAATAATAATAGTATTAAATAGTTATAATGAAATAATAAGATAAATAATACTGAAATAATAATAGTAATAAATAATCCCTCTGTGTGTATGTATATATAAGTGTCTGTGGAAAATAAATAATAATAATAATAATAATGATAGTAATAAATAGTAATAAATAAATAATAATATAATTCATACTGAAAATTAATAATAATAATTTAAATAGTTATAATGAAATAATAATATAAATAATACTGAAATAATAATAATCATAAATATTATTATTCAGTATTATTTATATTATTATGTCATATATGTGTATATAAGTGTCTGTGCAAAATAATAATAAGAAGAATAGTAATAATAATAAATAATAGTAATAATAACAGTAATAAATTGTAATAAAGAAATAATAATATAAATAATACTGAAATAATAATAATAATAATAATAATAATAATAATTCCTCAGTGTGTATGTGTATATAAGTGTCTGTGCAAAGTAATCATAATAAATAGGAATAGTAATAATAATAGTAATAAATAGTATAAATAACAATATTAATAATAACACTGACATTAATAATAATAATAAATATTATTAATAATGATAAATAATAATAATATAAGTAATAAATAGTAATAAAAAGCAATAATAATATAAATAATACTGAAATAATAATAATAATTAAAAATTCTCAGTGTGTATGTGTATATAAGTGTCTGTGCAAAGTAATCATAATAAATAGGAATAGTAATAATAATAGTAATAAATAGTATAAATAACAATATTAATAATAACACTGACATTAATAATAATAATAAATATTATTAATAATGATAAATAATAATAATATAAGTAATAAATAGTAATAAAAAGCAATAATAATATAAATAATACTGAAATAATAATAATAATTAAAAATTCCTTCTGTGTGTATGTGTATATAAGTGTCTGTGCAAAGTAATAATAATAAATAATAATAGTAATAAATAGTATAAATAACAATATTAATAACACATATTAATAATAAATATTAATAATAATAAATAATAATAATATAAGTAATAAATAGTAATAGTAAATAGTGATAAATAATAAAGAACAGTATAAGTAAATAATAATTCATAATTAATAATAATAATAATAATAATAATAATAATAATAATAAATACTGATAACCTCACCATCACCGAGGAAGAGGATGACGTTCTTGGCCACGTTGGTGTTGAGTTCCTGCAAGCGCAAGGCTGCCTGGAGGGTCTCCTGGGCTTGGCGCCGCCAGTACTTGGGGTCCTTCTCCTTCTCTAGATAGGCAGGCAAAGGAAAGGAAGACCTGCTCAGGACACCGCCGGCCCTGCAGGGATGGCCTCTCCATCGGTGGGCCTTTCCCTCCCTTCCCAGCTCTGCCCTCCCGTTTCCCACCCATGAACCCCGACATCTGTGGGCTGCCCACTGCTGCCACTTGGGACTGGCTTTCCGGGACTCCCTGCTCAGTCCAAACGGGTGGTCAGAAAGGAACGACAGCCCCATCTTCTCAATCAAGGTATAATAATAATAATAATAGTATTAATAATAATAAAATTTAATAATGTAAACAATATATTCTAATAATAATGAAATAATAGTCAAACTACAACATAATAGAATAATAGTTAGATAATAATAACAACAATATATAATACCACCAGCAACACTAGAATCATATATACAGCACATATATAATAATAAAATAATAATAATATAATTATAGCAATATAATAAGAACAATAACAAGAATAATAATATATAATAACAGCAGCAATAGAATCATATATACAGCACATATATGATAATAAAATAATATAATTATAACAATATAATAATAATAACAAGATAATAATAATATATAATAACAGCAGCAATAGAATCATATATACAGCACATATATAATAATAATAAAATAATAATATAATTATAGCAATATAATAAGAACAATAACAAGATAATAATATATAATAACAGCAGCAACAATAGAATAATATATACAGCATATATATAATAAAATAATAATAATATAATTATAACAATATAATAAGAATAATAACAAGATAACAATAATATTATATAATAACAGCAGCAACAATAGAATAGAATAGAATCAGCATATATAATAATAAAATAATAATAATATAACTACAATATAATAACAATAGTATATAATATGTATATATAACAACAGCAACAATATAATATTTCCACAAAAATATAATAGCTATATAATATATAATAATAATATATAATAACAGCAAGAATATAGTAAAAATAATATAACTACAATAATATAATAACAATAATAACAAGATAATAATACCAATAGGATATAAATAGTATCTATAATAAGGTATAATAACAATAATAATATTTTATAATAATAACAGCAACGGTTTAATAATAACTACAATATAATAATATAACAACAATATAATAATATAATAACAATAGTAACAAGATAATAATATCAATAGGATATAAATTATATATATATATATATTAACATCAACGGTTTTAATAATAATATAATTACAATATAATAATATAACAACAATATAATACTATAATAACAATAACAAGATAATAATACCAATAGGATATAAATTTTATATATATATATATATATATATATATATATATATATATATATATATAATAAGGTATAATAACAATAATAATATAATAATAACAGCAACAGTTTAATAATAATTACAATATAATAATATAACAACAATATAATAATATAATAACAATAACAAAATAATAATAACAATAGGATATAAATAATATATATAATAAGGTATAATAACAATAATAATATATAATAATAATAATAACAACAACCGTTTAATAATAATATAACTACAATATAATGACAAAAACAATATAATAATAACAATTGTATATAATATTATATAATAACAATAATATATAATAATGACAGTGGCAATATAATATATAACATAAATGCAAAATAACAATAATAATAATAATAATAATAATAATGGTTCCAAATAACTACAATAATATAATAATAATTATATTAATAACAATAGTATATAATATTATATAATAACAAGAATATATAATAATGACAGTGACAATATAATATATAAAATAAATACAAAATAATAATAATAATAATAAGGATGGTTCCAAATAACTACAATAATATAATAACAATATAATAACAATAGTATATAATATTATATAATAACAAGAATATATAATAATGAGTGTGACAATATAATATATAAAATAAATACAAAATAATAATAATAATAATAATAATAATAATAATAGTAATAATAAGGATGGTTCCAAATGTCTCACCAGGAACGAGAGCGAGGGCCAATCCCATCAGCAAGGGAAAATGCAAGAGTTTCATGGTGATTCCTAGGAGTGCGGAAGGGGCACCACTCCAACCCAAAACCAGGTGTTTCTGAATGAAGGGAAAAGAAAACATTATTATTATTATTATTAATAATAGATCATCTTCGAAAGGGGTGGTAGGCCCAAGACAGCAAAGTTTGGGTGCAAACTGGACATATGTGGGTCAGGCACATATGTGTCATGCGTATGAAGAACCCCAAGCCCTATTATTATGACTATTAGTATTAGTATGACTCCGACCGGAGTGTCACGCAGAGGACGTGCCAACCCCGGCCATTTGGGCACTTTGTCAGAAACGGGTGTTTGGCCCGAAAAGAGTTCTGTCATCACAAATGCAAGTTGCAAATCGGGTTCCCGGATTAATTGCATTGTCGTCATTGCCGTCCTTCCAGGAAAGTGCAAATGCAAAGCAGGCCCCGCTTCTTGGCTCAGAATGGCAGGTCGTGGGCAAGGAAAGTGAAACAGACTTCTTTCAGGAAGGCCCGCTTTTGCTTTGGCAAGGGCCTCAACCCTTTCCTCCCTTTGGAAGGCGTGCGTTTGCAAGAAGCAAAACGAGCTGAGGACGAAAGCGGGAGGGAAGCGGGGCCTTGCGACAGCAGCCTAGACAATGGGAAGCCACAGCCTTTCTCCCACTGAGAGCTCTCTCAGACTGGGGCCTTTCTCCCACTGAGGGCTCTCTCAGACTGGGGCCTTTCTCCCACTGAGGGCTCTCTCAGACTGGGACCTTTCTCCCACTGAGGGCTCTCTCAGACTGGGGCCTTTCTCCCACTGAGGGCTCTCTCAGACTGGGACCTTTCTCCCACTGAGGGTTCTCTCAGACTGGGATCTTTCTCCCACCGAGGACTCTCTCAGACTGGGGCCTTTCTCCCACTGAGGGCTCTCTCAGACTGGGGCCTTTCTCCCACTGAGGGCTCTCTCAGACTGGGGCCTTTCTCCCACTGAGGGCTCTCTCAGACTGGGGCCTTTCTCCCACTGAGGGCTCTCTCAGACTGGGGCCTTTCTCCCACTGAGGGCTCTCTCAGACTGGGGCCTTTCTCCCACTGAGGGCTCTCTCAGACTGGGGCCTTTCTCCCACTGAGGGCTCTCTCAGACTGGGGCCTTTCTCCCACTGAGGGCTCTCTCAGACTGGGGCCTTTCTCCCACTGAGGGCTCTCTCAGACTGGGGCCTTTCTCCCACTGAGGGCTCTCTCAGACTGGGGCCTTTCTCCCACTGAGGGCTCTCTCAGACTGGGACCTTTCTCCCACTGAGGGCTCTCTCAGACTGGGGCCTTTCTCCCACTGAGGCGAATTAACACTAGAATCATAGAATCATAGCGTTGGAAGAGACCTCATGGAACCAGAGGGAGTCCGAGGGGCGTCAAAGCGCATCAACCTTGGTGCTGACAGGACAGGCCGAGGGCTCCTGGCCAGTCACCTGGCTCCGGCCCAGAGCACCTGTGGCTTTGTGGGCCGATTGGCGGCTAATTCCCGGGATTATCCCCGCTGAGCGACAGCGATACCCCTTTCAGGCCGGCGATGGACGCAAAGCCCAAGCTGGACACCAGCCATCTGGCAGCCGGAGCAGGAAAGGCAAAGCAAAGCAAAGCAAGGCAAGGAAAAAGGAAAGGCAACAACGTGATGCGACGGCCAAAAAAAGCCAACGGGATTTGGGCCTCTATAGTGTCTAGAGGCCGAGAAGGCATGTTCCCCATGCTCCATTCAGACCAAGTTGCCTGGAATCTCACTGTGTCCAATTCTGGGAGATTTTGACTCTGAGCTAGAATGAGGGAGATTCAAAGGATCAAGGGTCTGGAGAACAAGCCCTATGAGGAGCGGCTGAAAGAGCTGGGCATGTTTAGCCTGGAGAGGAGAAGACTGAGAGGAGACATGAGGAGGGCTGTGTATATAGATATGACGTGAAGTCCTATGGAGGGAGTAATGGCTTCGAACTACAGGAAAAGAGAGGAAACTGTGAGACATGTTCAGCAGTGGAACTCCCTGCCCCAGAGTGTGGTGGAGGCCCCTCCTTCGGGGACTTTGAAACCACCTCGAGTCGCCTTTGGGTTGAGAGGGGTGGTATACAAATATAGTAAATAAATAAATAAATAAACAGAAGCAGAGGCTGGATGACCATCTGTTGGGGATGCTTTGAACGAGTTTGTCCTGCTTCTTGGCAGAATGGGGTTGGGTTAGTTCGCCTCAGTGGGAGAAAGGCCCCAGTCTGAGAGAGAAGACGGAAAAGAAGACGGAGAGGAAGAGGAAGAATGGAGAGAGGAAAGAAGGAGTGGGGAAGAAGAAGAAGAAGAAGAAGAAGAAGGGGAATCGTAGCATAATCAGAGTTGGAAGAGACCCCCAAAGAGGGCCATCTAGTCCAACCCCCTGTATTCTGCCGTGCAGGAAAAGCACCATCAAAGCACCCCTGACAGATGGCCACCCAGAAGAGAAAGGAGGAGGAGGAGGAGGAAAGAAGGAGGGGAAGAAGAAAGGGAGAGGGAAAAGAGGAAGAGGGGGGGGAGGAGAAGAAGAAAAAAGGAGGAGGAGGAAGAAGAGAGGGAAGAAGGAAAAGAGGAAGAGAGGGAGGAAGGAGAAGAAGAAGAGGGAGAAGAAGGAGAAGAAGAAAAGAAGAAGAGGAGGAGGAAGAAGAAAGGGAAGAGGGAAAAGAGGAAGAGGGGGAGGAAGGAGAAGAAGAAAAAAGGAGGAGGAAGAAGAAGAGAGGGAAGAAGGAAAAGAGGAAGAGGGGGAGGAAGGAGAAGAAGAAGAGGGAAAAGAAAGGGAAAAGAAGGAGGAGGAGAAAAGAAGAAGAGGAGGAAGAAGAAAGGGAAGAGGGAAAGAGGAAGAGGAGGAGGAAGGAGAAGAAGAAGAGGGAAAGGGGGAAGAAGAAGAAGAAAAAAGAGGAGGAAGGAGGGGAAGAAGAGAGGGAAGAGGGAAAAGAGCAAGAGGGGGAGGAAGGGGAAGAAGAAGGGAAAAGAAAGGGAAAAGGGGAAGATGAAGAAGGAAAAAGAGGAGGAGTGGGAGGAAGAAGAAAGGGAAGAGGGAAAAGAGGAAAATGGGGAGGAAGGAGAAGAAGAGGGAGAAGAAAGGGAAAAGGGGAAGGAGAAGAAGAGGATGAGGAAGAAGAAAAAGGAGAGGAGGAAGAAGAAAGTGAATGGGAAAAGGGGAGAAAAGAAAGAAGGGTGAAGGAAGGGGGGAAGGAAGGAGAGAAAGGGGAAGCAAGTGCGAAACGAATGGGAGAAAGGGAAAGGAAGAGGGAAAGTGCGAAAGTGAGAGGAGAAAGGAAAAGGGAGGGAAATGAAGGAGAAGAAAGTGGGAGTTAGGGATGATGGGTGGATGGAGGGAAGGTAGGAAGGAAGGAGAAGAAATAGAAGAGGAAGGAAAGAAAAGAGAAGAAGTGGGAGGGAGAGGATGAAGAGTTGGAAGGAAAGAAGAAGAAGAAAGGAGGGCAAAGAAGGAAAAGGAGAGGAAGAAAAGGGGGGGAGAAGAAGGGAGGAAAAGAAAAAGGAAAGAAAGAAGGAAAGTGGGAGAAAGTGAAGCTGGCTGTTCCTCACCTCTTTCTTCTTCTTCTTCTTCCTCTTGGCCCCTTCCTCTCCTCCTTCTTCCTTTCCTTTCTCTTCCTCTGCTTCTTCTTCTCCTCCTGGATCCGCGGGGCTTTTTAAAGGAGGGAGAAAAAAAGGAGGGAAGGAAGGAGGAGGAGGAGGAGAAGAAGGAGGAGGAGGAGAAGGGGGGAAGAAGGGAAGGAAGGGGGCTGAGCCCCAAGGCAGGCCCAGGGTGCCCCCTGCTGGGCGAAGCCAAGGCCTCTCTCTCCCTCTCTCTTTCTCTCTCTCCATTCACCCTTTCTTCTTTCCCTCCTTTCCTTCATCCCTCTCTCCCTCCCACTCTCCCTTCTTCCATGCCCTCTCTTCTTAGACTCATAGGATCCTAGACCTGGAAGGGACCCCTCAAGGCCATCTAGTCCAACCCCTTTATTTTGCACCATCAAAGGCACCATCAAAGCACCCCTGACAGATGGCCATCCAGCCTCTCTGTTTCAGAGCCTCCAAGGAAGGAGCTTCCACCCCTTCCACATGAATATAACATGTAATATATAGTAATAATAATATGATAATATCATAATATTTATTTACAGCATTTTTATCCCACTCTTGAAGGCAACTCATAATAATAATAATAATAATAATTATTATTATTATTATTATTATTATTATTATTATTATTATTATTATTATTATTTACAGCATTTTTATCCCACCCTGTCAGACTACACAGAGAAGCCATTGAAATCCACAAGCATGTGGACAATTTCAACAGAAAGGAAGAGACCATGAAAATGAACAAAATCTGGCTACCAGTATTAAAAAACTCAAAAATTATAACAGCTAAACAACAGAGAGGAAAAAACCAGGCACAGATTAACACCTCCCAGCAACAGATTTTCCCAGACTCAGGCAGGCCTTCAAATGCTAATGAAGGTGATCAGCTAAACATTCACACCTAACTGCAGCAGGGAAGAGCTCCTTGCCCCACCCCAGCCATTCCACAGATATATAAACCCATTTTTCCTACTTCCAACAGACCTTCTCAACCTCTGAGGATGCTTGCCATAGATGCAGGCGAAACGTCAGGAGAAATGCCTCTAGAACATGGCTCTAGCCCGAAAAAACCCACAAGAACCTAGTGATTCCAGCCATGAAAGCCTTCGACAATATATATTTATTTACAGCATTTTGTCCCTCTCCTTTCAGCCTGAAGGCAAATAATAATAATAATAATAATAATAATAATAATAATATAATATATTTATTTACAGAATTTTAGTCCCTCTCTTTTCAGCCTGAAGGCAAATAATAATAATAATAATAATAATAATAATAATAATAATGATATTTATTTACAGCATTTTGTCCCTCTCCTTTCAGCCTGAAGGCAAATAATAATAATAATAATAATAATAATAATAATAATAATGATATTTATTTACAGCATTTTGTCCCTCTCCTTTCAGCCTGAAGGCAAATAATAATAATAATAATAATAATAATAATAATAATAATAATATAATATATTTATTTACAGAATTTTAGTCCCTCTCCTTTCAGCCTGAAGGCAAATAATAATAATAATAATAATAATAATAATAATAATATAATATATTTATTTACAGAATTTTAGTCCCTCTCCTTTCAGCCTGAAGGCAAATAATAATAATAATAATAATAATAATAATAATAATAATAATAATATAATATTTATTTATTTACAGAATTTTAGTCCCTCTTTTTTCAGCCTGAAGGCAAATAATAATAATAATAATAATAATAATATATTTATTTACAGAATTTTAGTCCCTCTTTTTTCAGCCTGAAGGCAAATAATAATAATAATAATAATAATAATAATATATTTATTTACAGAATTTTAGTCCCTCTTTTTTCAGCCTGAAGGCAAATAATAATAATAATAATAATAATAATAATAATAATAATAATAATATAATATATTTATTTATTTACAGAATTTTAGTCCCTCTCCTTTCAGCCTGAAGGCAAATAATAATAATAATAATAATAATAATAATAATAATATAATATATTTATTTACAGAATTTTAGTCCCTCTCCTTTCAGCCTGAAGGCAAATAATAATAATAATAATAATAATAATAATAATAATAATAATAATAATATATTTATTTATTTACAGAATTTTAGTCCCTCTCCTTTCAGCCTGAAGGCAAATAATAATAATAATAATAATAATAATAATAATAATAATATAATATATTTATTTACAGAATTTTAGTCCCTCTCCTTTCAGCCTGAAGGCAAATAATAATAATAATAATAATAATAATAATAATAATAATATTTATTTACAGAATTTTAGTCCCTCTCCTTTCAGCCTGAAGGCAAATAATAATAATAATAATAATAATAATATAATAATATATTTATTTACAGAATTTTAGTCCCTCTCCTTTCAGCCTGAAGGCAAATAATAATAATAATAATAATAATAATAATAATAATAATAATATATTTATTTACAGAATTTTAGTCCCTCTCCTTTCAGCCTGAAGGCAAATAATAATAATAATAATAATAATAATAATAATAATAATAATAATATAATATATTTATTTATTTACAGAATTTTAGTCCCTCTCCTTTCAGCCTGAAGGCAAATAATAATAATAATAATAATAATAATAATAATATAATGATATTTATTTACAGCATTTTGTCCCTCTCCTTTCAGCCTGAAGGCAAATAATAATAATAATAATAATAATAATAATAATAATAATAATAATATATTTATTTACAGAATTTTAGTCCCTCTCCTTTCAGCCTGAAGGCAAATAATAATAATAATAATAATAATAATAATAATAATAATAATAATATATTTATTTATTTACAGAATTTTAGTCCCTCTCCTTTCAGCCTGAAGGCAAATAATAATAATAATAATAATAATAATAATAATAATAATAATAATATATTTATTTACAGAATTTTAGTCCCTCTCCTTTCAGCCTGAAGGCAAATAATAATAATAATAATAATAATAATAATAATAATAATAATATATAATAGTATTACCAGTCTCCCTTTGTAGCTTGAGGTGAGGTAAATAATAATAATAATAATAATAATAATACCGCTCTCCTCTTATAACTTGAGGTGAGATACAATATAATAATAATAATGATAATAATGATAATAATAATAGTACCTCTTTCAGCCTGAAGGCAAATAATAATAATAATAATAATAATAATAATAATAATATATTTATTTACAGAATTTTAGTCCCTCTCTTTTCAGCCTGAAGGCAAATAATAATAATAATAATAATAATAATAATAATGATAATATAATATTTATTTACAGCATTTTGTCCCTCTCCTTTCAGCCTGAAGGCAAATAATAATAATAATAATAATAATAATAATAATGATAATGATATTTATTTACAGCATTTTGTCCCTCTCCTTTCAGCCTGAAGGCAAATAATAATAATAATAATAATAATAATAATATATTTATTTACAGAATTTTAGTCCCTCTCCTTTCAGCCTGAAGGCAAATAATAATAATAATAATAATAATAAATAATAATAATAATAATATATTTATTTATTTACAGAATTTTAGTCCCTCTCCTTTCAGCCTGAAGGCAAATAATAATAATAATAATAATAATAATAATAATATATTTATTTACAGAATTTTAGTCCCTCTCCTTTCAGCCTGAAGGCAACTAATAATAATAATAATAATAATAATAATAATAATAATAATATATTTATTTATTTACAGAATTTTAGTCCCTCTCCTTTCAGCCTGAAGGCAAATAATAATAATAATAATAATAATAATAATAATGATAATGATATTTATTTACAGCATTTTGTCCCTCTCCTTTCAGCCTGAAGGCAAATAATAATAATAATAATAATAATAATAATAATAATAATATAATATATTTATTTACAGAATTTTAGTCCCTCTCCTTTCAGCCTGAAGGCAAATAATAATAATAATAATAATAATAATAATAATAATATAATGATATTTATTTACAGCATTTTGTCCCTCTCCTTTCAGCCTGAAGGCAAATAATAATAATAATAATAATATAATAATATATTTATTTACAGAATTTTAGTCCCTCTTTTTTCAGCCTGAAGGCAACTAATAATAATAATAATAATAATAATAATGATAATGATATTTATTTACAGCATTTTGTCCCTCTCCTTTCAGCCTGAAGGCAAATAATAATAATTTATTTATTTGTTTATTTGCTTTACTTCTATACCGCCTTTCTCAGCCGAAATGGCGACTCAAGGCGGTTTACACAGTAAAGATCAACACAATAACATCAAAAGGCAATTAAAAACACAGTTATACAAAACATATCAAGTCAAAAACAATCATTATCATAGACGTGCGCCTCAGCAAACAAATCAGAATCAGAATCCGTAATCATAATCCTTTATACCAATTCCTATGTTCAGTTGTACCATCTTACTGTATTTCATTGCACTATTTAGCCAAACGCTTGTTCGTAAAGCCAAGTCTTGACCTTCCTCCGGAACGCCAGCAGTGAAGGGGCCTGTCTGATGTCCACAGGTAGGGCATTCCACAGCCGAGGGGCCACCACCGAGAAGGCCCTGTCCCTCGTCCCCGCCAAACGCGCCTGCGATGCGGGCGGGACCGAGAGCAGGGCCTCCCCAGACGATCTTATAATAATAATAATAATAATAATAATATTTATTTACAGAATTTTTATCCTGCTCTTTTCAGCCTGAAGGCAACTAATAATAGTACAGGGAGCATACGACTCCTCTGTTACGCCAGCTCCACTGGCTACCAATTAGCTTCCGAGCACAATTCCAAGTTCTGGTGTTAATCTATAAATCCCTAAACGACTCTGGCCCAGTTTACCTGTCCGAATGAATTCTCCCCTACGAACCATCAAGATTGTTAAGATCTTCTGGAGGGGCCCTGCTCTCGGTCCCACCAGTCTCGCAAGCGCGCCTGGTGGGGACGAGGGACAGGGCCTGCTCGGTGGTGGTCCCTCGTCTCTGGAACTCTCTCCCACTGGAGATTAGAACTGCCCCTTCTCTCCTGACTTTTAGAAAACAGGTGAAAACCTGGCTCTGGAAACTGGCATTTGACGAGTGAGTCAATAACTCGCGACTACATGGACGGATGGTGATGAACTACGATTTTATTTTGACGACTTGGCCAATGTAATTATATGATTGTATTTTAGTATTTTAATGTTTTTAGTGTATTTTGGGATATGATGTTTTAAACAATTGTCTGTGATACTGTTGTTGTGAACC